GAAATCCAAGAAATTTGCTATATTCTATTTACTGTTTGGTGAATCATGGTCATAAAGTCGAATATTTTCACGTCTCACAATGTCCATTATTTGCGGATGAACCTAAAAATTACACAAATGAAATTGATAAAACCTCTCAAGACACTCTTACCTATTTCATTTTTATTTGTTTATTTTTATTATTTTTCCCTATCTTTTTTACTTCTTTTCTTTTTTCCCCTTCCATCATTCTCTAATAAAATTTTATTGGATAGTAAACTGTACTAATATACCTAAAATATGTAATAAATATAAATAACAAATGTGTTTATTTATATATATGAAATTTATATCGTAAGATAGAAAGAAATTTGAATATATAAATAATAATAATAATAAATAAAAACGAATTTATTGTTATTTTGAATTTTTTATATTAAAATTCAACTATTATTTATATTCAAATATTATTTTAATTTTATAATTTAACAATTTTGTTATTCGAGAAAAATAACTTTTATATTATGGATATTAGAAATTCTATCCACATTTATCACACCTCCCCTATGGGATAATTTTATCCGGACTATATCCCTCATATATCAAACTTTATCCTATCTTGGATAGGCACCAAACACGGGATATGATAAGTTTTATCTTATCCTAAATTTTATCCCGACTGCCAAACATAGTATTTAAATAGTTGTTGAGAAATATGCTATAAATTTATATTTGGCTTAATTTCACTCTATGACTTATGTATTTGAGAGACTTTGGTTTTTTTATGATGCAACTATGATGACATTGTGGCTATTGTTGATTGCTATTGGAGTCCTTATTTGATGTGTTTATGTTTTTATTTCGTCTGATGGCATAGGTAATATGAAGGGGGTGAAAGTAGCGTGTATAATAATCAAGTAGCATTAGTTGAATTAGTTTGACAAGACTTTGATGAATTTGATCTTGATATACCGATAGCTTGGTTGTGCACTATTATGGTGGATATGTCCATGCACACAAGAGAACTTATTAGGGACAGCGTATTGTCAGACCCAAATGGGTAAGAGAGGTTCTTTATGGATATTCAGATAGAGTATATGAAGCTTTTAGAATGAAGAGACTTGTCTTTTTCGACCTTTGTGATTTTATGAAGGCAAAATGTTGGTTGGAAGATAATCGATATATTATGATAGATAAACAAGTAAGGATTTCTTATCTTGATTTGTCAAAAGAACTTGGATAGAGATTTATGTGAGAGATTCCAACATTAGGGACAAACTATCAGCAAGTACTTTATTATAGTGTTGAAAGCAATTCTCAAATTAGCAAGAGAGGTTATCAGACCACATTCCTTTGATATTGTCCTAGAGGATATTCTTACGGATTTTAACCTTAAACGTTATTTCAAGGTAGGATTCTCATACATTCTTTTACACCATCAGTTTTATTTTGTTGATAATCATATATAATTTTAGTCTTTGATAAAATGACAGGGCTACGTAGGCATTATTAATGGCACCCATGTTCATGCTCCTGTACCTGTGACGAAGCAGATCTCATTTAAAGGCTGGAAAGGAATTATCACTCAGAATGTAATGTGTGTTTGTTCGTTTGATATGAAATTTACTTTTGTGTATGCTGGCCGGGAAGGCTTTGCCAACGATTGTCAGGTGCTCTTGACAGCACTCGAGACTCCTCGCTTGGAATTTCCTCAATCACCACCATGTATTTGCTTGTTCTTTAATGAGTAATTTTCTTTATAATTGTATTGCGGTTGCAAATCATGACCAATATATGAATACCTTGTTATAGGGAAATACTACATGGTAGATTGTAGTTATGTAGCAACTCCGGATTTTTAACTCCTTTTAAAGGTGAATGGTATCATCTAAATGATTATAGAGGTAGAGCAAGATGGCCAAGAACGGCAAGAGAATTGTTCAACTATAAGCATTCTTCACTAAGGAATGTCATTAAGAGATCATTTGGAGCATTAAAGAATCGTTTTTTTCATTTTGAGACACATGTCTTCATTTACAATTCGAAAGTAAGCACATATTGTAATTGTATATTGTGCTATCCATAATTACATCCGTGATCAAGACAGGATGGATAAGAACTTTTCCCTATATGGAGATCCGGAGTACCGGTTTGAACCTATACAAAATGAGGTTACGGACGATACATTGACCGGGGAAGGAACCAAGATGAATATTCTTTGGAAAAGTATTGCCAATAAAATGGCAGAGGATTATAATATGCCAGAGATTCCATGAAATTGTATTTCCGACTTTTGTAACGTATTTCCATTATTTTGTATTTAAGGATTTCCTATGTTGGTTCTTGTAATGTGATGTGGTATTTGAGGATTTCCTATGTTATTAAACGAATTTCTGTTTCGAGAAATTTTATATTCCAGAAATAGAAATTTTGTGTCGTTATCAAGTGTGTTTCTCTGCTCAAAAACTTGTTTAGAGACAGAAATAGAAATTTGACATAAAAGAAGAAGAACAGAAATAGCCATAAATTGATTTCTAAAACAAAATGATTATCATTCGCACCCTTATAGACAACAAGTCTCACTCATGAAGATTTCCCTTTGTCTCGCCCCATTAGCTTCATCGTGAAGATTTCCCTTTATTTTCGAAAAAGAAACACAGAAAAGAAGAAGAAGGTGAACAGCAAAGGAAATAGGAAAAAAAGAAATAATAAAAATAAAAAGTTTAGAAAATTAAAGAAAATGATGTCATTTCTACTGAGTTGTACTTGTTAAATAGCTAACTGTGCCACGTAGGACAACCAACAATAATTAGATCACCACATCAACAATTTTCAATGGCACTTGACTGGAAGGACTACATTGAAATTTAGAGCCAAAGTTTACGATAACATTGGTTAAATTGGAAAATTTAGGATTGAATTGAAATCCATATTATATATTTAAGATTACTTGGGTATTTTTTCCAATAGATATTATAGTGGTTTAGCTTATGTCAAGTCTACGTCCATTCTTTCGAACTAATAGCTATTAACAAGACTGGAATCTAATAGTAATTTCGCTAATATTCACATATAAAAAGTGTTGTTTTTACTCGAAGTTGAGAAATCAAACTATCATTAATCAATCACTACTATTACATTTGCACACTCCTCAAATTATCATATTACGACAATCAATGACTAATCTAATAGAATCATAATTGTAGAATCATGATTGCAAATATGAAAAAGAACGTGATCAGAATTTGTAGCTTTCTGTGTTTTTCTCTACTTCCTTTATATTGTTTTGAATTTCTGATATAAATCTTCAATCTCCAAATTAGCTGCGGAGAATCTTCAAAAGAAGGGTTAATACCACGAAAAATCCGAAATTGGTACATTTGTAATAAATTTACCCCAAACTAATATTTTGACCACAAAAAATTCCAAACTAGTCATATGACAAATTTATCCCAAATTAGCCACCAAAAACCCAAAATCAGTAAATTTGTCATAAATTTACCCTCCGTTAATTTCCGTTAAATTGGATTAATATCATAAAAAATCACAAACTAGTACACCTATAACAAACGGAGGGTAAAACCCCAAACTAATACACTCGTCAACTACCACGTGCCATCCAATACAGTAATTTGATGGTAAAATTTAACGGAATTAGTAGATGGTAAATTTATCACAACTGTATTGGTTTGGAGTTTTTGGAGTCAAAAAATTAGTTTGTGGTAAATTTATTACAAATACACTAATTTAGGATTTTTCATGGTATTAACCCTCAAAAAAATCAATTAGCCGTTGAATTTGATAAACACAATTGTTGGAAATTTGGCAATCCATGCAATGTGATTTTCCTAGCAATAGTGAAGCCTCTGTAAATAGAGTATAATAGTCAATTGTCCGTTTCACTAATTAAGCGAGCAAAATAGGGAAGAACTAATTTGATTTATATCCAGTTCTTCTTTCCAAAATTCCAGATCTTGAAGCTAGTTATTAATCTTATAGAAAATCCATGGTCAGGAATTCATATAGACAAAAAGGGATTCGAGAGAGAGTTGTTGACCTACAAATCAAGTTAAAAAGAATATATGGGTCATCTTATCCGGGTAACATAAACACGTAAATAACATTTCTTTTTCAATTGATACAGGGAGTTACCTTTATCAGCAATTCAGTAAGTCTATCCAAGTTACTCACTGAAAATCGACTTACGAGGCTCTAATCATTGGTCTTCATGAGTATATAAGCGATTGAGTTCATTCAATTGTTTACCCTATCATAATATCTCAAATTCTTCTTGTTAGCCTAGATTTGTACACTCTCTATCAAGGTCCATCCGATTTGGCGTGTTTCCACTATAAACTTCAGATGCCGTTAATGGTGACAAAGTGTTCCTCGTATCAACATCAACTTAAATAAACAATATCTGCATTTATCAATTGTAATAGGCAAAAAATGATTTTGTCAATTCTTCAAAATGTCATAGGAGATTTTGCAAGCAACAAGTACAGAGCAACAACAAGACAATCCCACTGTACATTCTCAACCGCTCACGGGGATTTTCCTAGAGCTTTTCTCCAAAGATTTGTATTCTAAAACTTAAGTTGTATATATGAAATTAGTTGTGAGATTCGTATAAGAGAATTTCTTGGTTGTGTTTTGTCCTGCTCCTTTTACTTGAAAAAGGAGAGATATTTCGGGCTTCCGTTGGCCCAGACCACTTGGCTCGAAGGGGGTAAAAATAATGGAAAATTATACAAACACTGTATTTTGACCAAATATAGAATGGACTAAAATGTTAATCATCTATCAAAGTTCATGGACGATATTAAACAAATTAAAAGTTCAGGAACTATATTGCATATTGGATTAAAGTTCAGGAACCATATTGAATAAATTAAAAGTTCAGGGATCATATTATATGTTGGGTCAAAATGCAGGGACTATTTGTGTTATTTTTCCCTAAAAATAATGGCAGGTCTAGATTTGGATGGTGAATGACCTCTCGTCCGGAGTCGGGTCGAGACCCAAAGCAACCACGGACTGATCCGGCCATCATACTTCTTTCAATTCCCGCGCATGGAGAATTAGGGTTTAAGGGTCAGCTCTGACTCTGAGCTACTTCCTTCTTCACCGTGACCGACACTGCGAAGCTTCAAGCCCGGAGCTACCATGGAGGACGAAATGGATGCGTCGCCCAGCTATTTCGACCCAGAGGATCTCACAATTAGGGAGCAGTTTCGACGATACGGGTAAATCAATCCATGCATCCCTTTCGTTTTTACATTCCTCCGCTCATCTTGTGCTCCATGGTTGTCGAGATTGATTGGAATCGGAGGGGGGAAATGATGGTGGTTCGGTCATCCTAAGGTCGAATGTGGAAGCTTGGAAATCAGCAGCCTCTTTGCCCCCTGTTCCTTTCAAACTGTACTTGTCGATATGTCGATTTCACTCTGATGATCTTGTCTGACTATCTTCTTCCAATTAAGGGCACCGTTCTGTGTGTCGGTAAATGTAGTTTTGTCTAGGCAAGGCATGTCGTTGGGATTGAATCGTGTTGTTGCATGCTCAGGAGAGGGCAGTCGTCGAATTCCAACATATCGCCCCAGAAACGTTCGGGGTCGATGGCAAGGCAGGGTAGCTTGCTGTACGATGGACCACACATCCACAGCCCGACAAATGCCGCGCTTCTTCTTGAAGACATTAAGCAGGAAGCCTTGGGCTTCGATGCTGATTACGCAGAGCGAACGCCTGCGAGGACCCAGTCTTCTTCCAAGAGAAGATACTCCATCGAGGGTCATGGGAAGTTGGAGGCCGAGACGGGTTTTGTTTCGGTCCGAAGAGCTGGAAGTTATTCGCTGAAGGCTTGTAAGCAGGAGGATGAGTCGTCATCGGACAGTGGAGAGATGACATTCTCTTTATTTGCTTCTCTGCTGGATTCTGCTATTCAAGGTGTTCTAAGTAGATTAACTGTTAGCATGTAGAGATAAATTGAATAGATGTTCGTCTCTTTAATCTCATGGTTGATTTATTTGGTCACTTTCACATATACATTATTTGCACTGATACCGTGGAGGGTATGGAGAACTATTTCATGGAAATTTGAATCTGAGATGAAATATGAGCATGTGCCTCGATCTTCAGTTCCGTAACTGTGATGCTTTATGTTACTTAGGTGAGTCATATGCAATGGTTTAAATTGCCATGATAGAGGATTGTAGGATGCTGCAGCTATTATATCTGCTTTCTATATGGTTGTTAAAGGTTCCCCCTTGCTATCCTTTCAAGGAATTTTTATCTAAAAAGATGCAGCTGCTGTTTGTCTGTTTGTTTGTTTTCATTTAAGCTTCTTGAAAATCTGTTCTGACTTAGATTATGAGCATCAGACTTGTGGGCCTGATGTTTGACTTGTCTGTTATCATCTTAAAAAAAATCCTTTTAAAATATGGATGGGTTGTGTTGTCAACACAGAGATTGTAGTTTTTCTTTTCAGCACAGATTACCTGCAGCTTTTATCGGAGAGAGTGTATTCATGAATAGACATGAGTCAACATAGAGAGTAGATAAGTAAGTTTTTAAGTGAAGAGAGGACATTGAAGACATGCTCACCACAGAAACTAGTTGTTCTTGCGAGTTTAGACGAAAGTTGAGGGGAGCTTTTATGAGGATTATATGGTCGCTTTGGAGTGTAAATCAACAAAAGAAGCTCAAGTTTCAATTTCGATATACTCAAAACCTGTGCAGGGGATTCTTCTAATTTCTTTTGTGAGCTTAGCGTAGGTGTCATATAATTGATCTCTCTGTGTTGTGTACGCGCGTGCGGGTGAGTGTGTGTGTGTGTGTGTGTCCTTTCCCTTTAACCTGAAGTTCACAAGTGTATAAATAGTATCGTGTTGTGGGCATGCACCTGTTCTTGACAGTTATATTTAAATCTGCAGTGTTATGCGATTTGGCAGACTTAAATATGAAACTTTCAATAGCATGCTTTCTAGAGTCTTACTTTTTATCCTTTTGCAGGGCTGATGTCTATACCTGATCTAATACTACGATTTGAGTCATCTTGTAGAAATGTTTCAGAGTCAATCAGGTATAATTTACAGCAGACAAATAATACGGTACTTAATGACTGGTTCTGTGGGAATTTGGCAATGTGTGAATGGACTAGCAAATTCACCGCACAATTACTATTGCTTTTGTTGAAGTGTAATAGTTGTGTGTTACTTGTGTACTCTTCTTACCCTTGCATGGCGTGACTCTCATTTTACTCTTTTGGCTTCAAAAGGTATGGTTCCAATATGAAGCATCGCATTGTGGAGGACAAGCTAATGAGACAAAAGGCTCAATTCTTGCTTGATGAGGCTGCTTCGTGGTCTCTCCTGTGGTATCTATATGGAAAAGGAAACAGATCTCTGACCTCTTGAAGTTGATTATATGCTAGAACATTTCTTTGACAGTTTAATCTATTAAATCTGGTTTTGTGATTTTAGCACGTTATTCGTTGTGTGTGGCGAGTGTTGTGAAGCTCCATACAATAATGAGATCATGTGAGATTTCACGGTTTTTTTTTTTGATATCTTGCATATGACTACCTGGACATAAAAAATGTGCTGTAATTTTTGCATTTATCCATGTGATGAATTAGAAATCGTTTTTGAATTCTTTAGTAGTATCACTGGTGAATAATCTTTTTATTGGTCGGTTAATGAATCCAAACTGATTTTAAAGATCGAGATCAGGATCAAGTTTGATAAGTATAAATTTTAGTGGTAGGCGTACTTGATTAAGGTCGAGGATATAGACGAAAATTTCTTAAGGATCTATTTGGTTCTTTCTTTCTTTACAATTCTTTGTGGAAACAGAAAACTGCTAGGATAAGTCTTTTATCATTTTATAAAATGGTTTCTGAAGTTTTCGATTATATATGAGGAGAGAATTGGTAATTAATGAAGAATTCATGTTTAAACATTTCTTGCCAATGTTGGAACTGAAAGTATGAGAAAGATGACTTACAGAGAGTATAAACAATGTACCAACTTGTGCTCCAAATTTTTTGAAATTCTAATAAAATCAAAATGAACACAAACTATAAGTAATAGAGTTCCAAAAATTACAAGATGAAGCATTTGCCCCAGAAGACCAAGTCTTGCAAGAGAGGTAAATCAGCTCGTAGAGTCGTGAAAGAAAAGAAAAAAGAGGAAGATAGTCTGAAAACAAGAAAACATTTTCCTAAAAATTTCTCACTGAAAATGAAAGTCTGACATTTCTCTAGAATTAGAGGCACCCTAAATCTTTTGAATTTACTATTTCCGCAGCAACTTGTAAGTATTTGTCTAGCCTGTCATTGTGTCAATATTTCATGTATGCTTATCCCTGCTGAGTTGCCCCTCTCTTCCTGAAGCTGTCTGCGTGCATGTGGTTCTGACATTTTCTCTTTCTTATACAGGGAATGAAGACATTCCAAAAGATATATATTTGGTAATGCATCTTTCTGTCTCAACAGTTATCTTTTGATGTTTGCAAAATGACTTCAGGGTCATGTATAATACTTTACTTTTTCTAATAACATCTTTCTCTTTGTTTAGTACAGTATCCAACTACATCGCATTTGGAGGCTTGTCAGTTTGTTTCAAATGACCATACGGCACAGTTGTGCCTCCGGGTTGTTCAGTGGTTAGAGGGACTAGCTTCCAAAGCACTTGATTTGGAAAGCAAGGCATAACTCTCTTCACTTATTTCTTTTATGAGGGACATCAAATTATGTTGTAAAGTGTGATTTGTTGTTCAGAATAATCGACAAATATTGCCTATGCTTCACCAATCTCTTTTCCACCTGGCAGTGTTGTTTCTTACAATTTGGTACCTGTCAGTTCCGGTGGCACCACAGTTTTTTGTACCTTTGTGGATAGGATTGTGTCAGCTACCTAAGACATCATAAATAATGAATTTTTGATGGTTATGTACTAAACCATGTCTCCCATAAAAGATTAGACCAAAGGTCGCTGGACCCATTAGGTCAACTGTAGCTGACTTTGGGTTTTGACAATGCAGGAGTTATATCTTCTAGTTATGCGGCAGTTTGGTGGATGGTTAATAATATTTACTCTGTTCTGATAATATTGGTAGCTTGCTTTTTTTCTATCATTGGGATGAACCGGCCTTGAGAAGAAAGTCAAGCAAGAACAGGATCATAGTCATGACAAGGTGTAATTACCGTACAGCAAAATAAAAATTCCTGAAAATGGACATCGTGCTGTTCTTTTGCATATTTAGACCGAAAGAAACAAGGAGAGCTTAGAAAGAGAAGAATTTTCTCAGTAAAATCCATAGAGTTTGAGTGTTATGTTCTTCATCTTTGGTATAGCGAAGTGGAAGGGTGAAGATGTTGGTGGTTAGATACTTATTTATGCGTGTTTCTAGATTGATCATGTCACAATCTGGTGTTTATTTTTTGTACTTGAAAGGCTTTGCTTAAGAAGCCATTTTTTGTGGGGCTAATGCCTTCTTGGTACCACTTTTTAGTGAATTTATTGTATATATTTGAAAATACGCATCATTTTTTGTCTTTCTATATATATATTCTGGTTTAGATGCTAGAAACTCCTTTCGGTTTTGAGGGCTGTTTTTTATATGGCTTTAGTTTTTTGGGCTCTTTTTGTATGTGGGTTTGCACCTCCTTGGTGCCCTATAGTTGAACTTTTTATCTATCAACAAAAAAAGGTGAAGAAAATACTGAAATGAGGAAGCAAAATATCTACAATCCTTCTCTAATTGGTAATCCAACTGAATGTGGAAGTCTGCTTTTGGTATGCAATTTGAGAAAAAATCTACGAGTTGATCCATAATGCTGAGTGTCATGCTTGTATCCCTCTAGGTTCTGATATTGCTATGCTTCTGTGCTGGCCGAATATCATAGGTTTCCTTACAGATAGATGTCATGAGTTTTTTACAGGGACTCCCATTAACTTATCTGTCATTTCAGGTGCGAGGATCTCATGTTGGAACCTATCTTCCCAGCTCTGGAATCTGGCATCACACACAGAGGTTTCTTAAGAAGGGTCGTTCTGATACAGACACTGTTCGTCACTTGGATTTTGATGCTCCAACACGTGAACATGCGCATCAGCTGCCTGATGACAAAGTATTTCTCTTGCCTGTATATACTCTCATAGTTCTAGCAAACAAATACCCACCGTAACATTCCAATTATAGCATTGGTTATAAATAAAATATTGACCAAATTACTGTTCGAAGTCTGTGTTCCCCCTTCAAAATTGGTTATATTTAAAAAATTTTCCCCTTCTTGGCCCCAGCATGCTTAGAAGCCTTTAGATGATTCATTCTTAATGAAGCTTGTGCATCTATGTTCACCATACTTGTAGTTGTTTGTGATTTTCATGCCTTACTATAAAAATGATAAAATGCATTTGCTAGTACCCTTCTATTGTATTTTTTTGGGGGTCATTGGAAGGAAACTTCAAAAAAGGGCATAAGATGATGGAGAAAAGAAAAATATCTTGTGAGAAATTTATCCTCTTTGTGCTGGCCATTTGTGGTACAGAGAGTTTCTATATCCACATGTATTAAGGTTGAGAAATGCAGCTGAGTCCCGATGGATATGTTGAGATATAATCCCTCTTTTCAAGGATTTCAAGGATATTACTCCGTGCACTGCTTCCAATAGCCAAGAAGGCTGGAATTCACAGTTTTTCCATCTTCAGCATCTGAGTTAAAATACTAATTCAGACTGAGAGCTTATTGTCAGTCCTAAAAAACATAGGTTATACTTGATTGTAAAGCAGATATAATGTTGATTTTCTAATCTCCATCAAGGGGGGAAATTGTCTGTCTTGCAAGCAAAGACACATGCTATTTATTTTCTCCAGATTATATTCCATTGCTTACATGCTGCAGCACACATGATGCCGCTCGATAACTATGGCTTTTTGGAGAAATATTTGTGTCCATGAAGTTGATGTTAATTAATGGATTTTAAAATCCCTACATAAAACATCAAAAGACTAATTGTTAGGAAGAAGAATGATACCTGCTTTGGTACTGCCAGAACTGTTATCATCACTTCATATAGCTTCTGGTACGGCCTTTTCTACACTTGACACAAAGCAGAAACCTAGTTCTAATTAAGTGGAAGTCATATTGTGTGTGAAGCTTTTCTTGCAATCATTTTGTCAATAGTTGCGTGCCTTTCCTACTTTTCCTATTGTTGGGTGGATGCAGTTATCGTGAACATATACCTTTATACGATCCTTAAGCTTGTGGAAATTAAACCAGGACTTTCAATATTTCCTTACAGAAACAAGATAATTTGCTATTGGAAGATGTGTGGACTTTATTAAGGGCTGGGAGACTCGATGAGGCTTGTGACATTTGTCGGTCTGCTGGACAGGTGTGTTGAGTTTCAAAAAGATGCAATTGTAAATTCAACCAGTTATTAATGTTCTTATGAAGCTTACTTTGTTATGGCATGGCAGCCATGGAGAGCGGCAACTCTTCGTCCATTTGGAGGGTTGGATCTATTTCCTTCATGTGAAGCCCTGGTAAAGAATGGAAAAAATCGGACTCTTCAAGCAATTGAGTTGGAAAATGGCATTGGACACCAGTGGCGCCTCTGGAAATGGGCATCCTACTGCGCATCAGAAGTAGGGTTCTAATGATGGATTCTGCACATACTTGACTCATTACATTAACTCTTCTTTGTTGAATATATCATTTTAATACTGACGTGCAGCATCTGTGTGCCGAAAATGCAACTCTATTTAAGGTGTATTGGTTCAACAATCTGCATATATATGTTAGTCCCATTTTCTTGTGGTATGCATTATGAATAACTGTGGCCATCTTCATTCAATAGCGCTAGGATTCTTACCAAGACTCAGGGTTCTTCAAGTTTTTGGATGTTTGATGATTCTCTCTGGTGTTTGGTTTTTGTAGTCTAACATATGTTTCTGCCTTTGTGCATGGTACTTTAAAGAGGATTGCTGAGAAAGATGGTTGCAAATACGAAGCTGCTGTATATGCAGCACAATGTAGCAATTTGAGGTGCTTGCTTCCAATATGTACAGACTGGGAGGTTTGTCTTTTCCATCTAATCAACATAATTATTGTTGACTTCTTTAACTTCTGCGAGTTCTTTTTGGCCTTTTCCTATGAATGGTTAGCATTTCTTGTGACAATGTGGAAAGGCTAGATATGGCAAGGAATTATCTTTAGCGTTCTGTCACATGATTTAGCCTTTGAGGCTTAGTGATAGATGATGGACAAGTTAAAGGTAGGATTATGATTTCTGTTTTCTAGGGCGTACGGTAGGGTAGCAGAAAATTTTGGCAGACGCAGTATGGACTAGCCATTACGAGGTGCCTGGCAGACAGATGTACCAGCTTATGCTTATAGGAATAATTTTTGCAGACTCGATTCATATTTGCTTGGATGACAGTTTTATGATGTAAATGCAAAAGATTGAAAAGGAATTGAGCCTTTGAGACATCATAGCCATGTACTAGTTTGCTCCCTATATCTAGCTACTTCATGAATAGTTTACAAACTTCAGTGACAATTTCATAAAATCTAAATGAGCAAGGATTATGAAGTATAATTTTTGTATGAAGTTCTCCCAAAGACTTTAGCAAAAGGAGCAACCCCTAGACACAATGCCTGGGAAGAATTTTAACAAATAAAAACTTGAGATTTTTCTGTCTTTTCATTGTGACCTGGTGCTACATGTGTAGAAAAGCTTCAAATCTATGAATAATTGTGGTGAAGATGCTTCAGAAATTTGGTCAATTTCTGAAGTTCAATCGGTGACGTTACGGAGAACACTGAAATGAGTTACTTGGTTGTTGGCATCTGTGCAAAGGCCATGAGTTTTAAAAGAAAGTTTTTTGAGGAGTGTCTGGATTATCTTTTCTTTTTACTTAATCTAAATTTTGCGACAAACGCCCTATGACTTTTTGTTTAATCCTAAATTTATGAAACTTTTATGACATATAAATGTTGAGACTTACGTTCGCATATAATTTTTTCATAGTTTTTTGAAGTTAGGACATTCAAATTTTGGCGGGAAAGCAAAGAATGTGCTCTTTGCTTATAAAACGCTTAAACAAACGGTCCTTGATAACTTTAAAGGTGGTGAAAACCCAAGTTTGATGGTGGGCACCGTTCTTTTTCATAATTTATTATTAATATTCATTACAACTTGCCATAATGATCATCTCGCCCAATTTTTTCATAATTTTTGCTCAGTCATAGATGTAAAATAGTTATTGTGTCAATAAACGGTTGCAATCAAATCTATATAAGCGAATTAGTTCTGATTAAATCAAGAATTGTGAATCGTTTTTTTCCTTTACTGTACTGACTGCTCTTGGTTGGTCCCTCCTTACTAAATCAGGAACCTATGAAGCTTCCCCGAAAGGATTACCAAATAATATGATGAGATGAAAAGTGCTGGATGGATTTGGGTAAACAATTGGCTTTATGCTTAAAATTAAACATTGATATTATTTAAAAACAAAGCATGCAATCTCCTCTAAATAATGAAAGTTTGTCTAGTGGTTATGGCACAAAAGGGCATTGTCCTGGATAATATAAATCAATTTGGAGAGGAAAAATTTTATTAACAAATAAAAAGGAAAAGGGAATGAGAGAAACAAAGAAAAGAAAATAAGAAAATTCAACCTTTTTCCATACCTAACCTAATTCATGAGGTGGACTAGTGTGAACACCATGCATCTTGAAAACCCTGCTTGATATAATTGTAAGATTTGCATGATGCACAAGCTCTGGTCTGGGGAAACAGGAGAAGAATGGTTGGATCAGAAGCACCTGACAACTAATCGAAAGAGACGGCATTTGACACTTTGCCAGACCGGGATTTGAATTTTGTTTCTGAGCAATTTTCCAGTTTTTCTGTTCTTTAGGCTTTGCCTAGCATTGTCTTTTGTGTGCATCTTATGTACATGAATAGGTTACCTTCTTCGATATTATAGTACATTTATCATAAACAGAAATAGCAATCACATGAAAGGCTGATGTATGCCCACCACAATTGCAGTCTGCTTGCTGGGCAATGGCCAAGTCCTGGCTTGATGTTCTGGTGGACATGGAACTCGCTCGCTTGCAGCCTGGTGGAATGGCTCATTCAAAGAGTTATGGAGATGATGTTGATGGCAGTCCTGAACAAATTGAGGGCACATCTCAGTCTTCATCGGGGCCTGAAAATTGGCCGCTGCAAGTTCTTAACCAGCAGCCACGACATCTTTCTGCTCTTCTTCAGAAACTTCATTCAGGGTACTAAACAAGACTCAATTTCTTTGGAAGTTAGTTTCGTTTCTTTCAATATATGATAAGCCTCACTTTCGGCCTAATTTAGTGATGCTGTCCACGAGGCCGTTATGCGAGGATGCAAAGAGCAGCAAAGGCAAATTGAGGTGAGTATCTTGGCAGGAGAATCATTTTGGCTGAATTCTGGTCATGGAAGCATGGATGAAGCATATAATTGCTTCTTTACTGCATCAATTATGAAAACTATATCATCATAGCATTTCCATTCATTTTTCTGTCTTGTACGAAGGTACGCAATCTGTTACAGGCGGGCAACTTTGATCCTTTTGGACGATTTGTCCGCACAATATGAAACATACATCATTCGACTAAGAGTTCAATTAGATCTTCTGGTGATAGTTTTATTGTTTATCACTTCATTTGAGCTTGGCATGACTTGCTTTTGCAGATGAAACTTATGGAAGGGAATATACCACAGTTGCTGGATCTTATCTGGTCATGGATAGCACCTTCAGAAGATGATCAAAATGTCTTCAGGTATTAGAATATGAAAATGCTCAGCAACTTATTTCATTTCCAGATACTTAACTATTGGATGTAAGGTAGCTTTTTATGACCATGGCTTCCTGGTTTTTCTTTCAATTTTTCTAGCAGGATATTCGAACACGTTTTTTAACCTGATCCCATGAAATTGGATTGTACTTTCGAACTGTATAATCGTAAAGTTATATAAGCTTTGCAAAATAACTCTAGGAAATCTTGCATATGGATTGATCATAAAGCTCCAGATTACTAAATTAAGCAATAAAAACAAGTTTATTTGTGCCAGTCTCAGAGTATCAATGCCCCTAATGGCGCCACATGTAAAAAGAAAACATAACATCGGGATCATGATCGCCTTCTGGCACCCTTTCTTGGGCTCTTTCACGATCTTGACATAGAGTTTGCACTTCTAAAGCAAGTCGTTTGATTGTTCATTTCATCTCAACAATCTATTGGGCTTGGTTGAGCCTAGGACTCGCATACTCCTTGCAGCCATGAAGAAAGATCGGAACCTGGCTCTTATCCACCCTGACAAGGCATCTAACACCAAGAACAGAATTGAAGAAGCAAATCGAACAATTCACAAGGAAACTTACAATCTAAAATGTTGTCTTGTGGACGTCAAAGCTAGAGAAAAGGAAAAACAAATTTCTAGAAAACAAACTTTACTCAATAATGGAAACTACCCTCTGAAAACAACCCTCCAACACTTATAAATAGGCATAAAACCCATTATTAATAGGACTCCTACCTAAAGAAGTAAACCTAATTCTACTAGGACTCTGAAAGCATACGTAAAGACCCTGAAAATCAAAATTCTGCCAACAGTAAAAGCAAGAATAAATCTTCTGTTAAACTCCACCATCTCTCTCTCTCTCTCTCTCTCTCTCTCTCTGTGCGTGTGTGCATCCTGAACCAGAAGAATAACCTCTGGTCGTCTTCTATTTGTTTTCTAATGATGCATACTTAAAGGCCGAGTCCTAACATTTGATATATAGCTGTTTTCATTTAGTTTTTCCCTTCAAGAAGCCCACAACAAGATGAAACCTATAGAAGAGATCTTGGAAGTTAGAAAATGTGGGTAGCTGAGTCAAGGCAAGTCAACAAGTAATTGTAACAGTTCAACTTGTGAAAATATATGGTTTCAGGGATGACAAGATGGTGTGGTACCTCAGCTAATGACAGGAAATTCAGTGTTAAATTATGTTAGTCTATCTTGGGGAATTTCCCCCCTCATTCATTCCTCTCTAAAGCAATTTGGCTGCCCTATATACCATATATAATCTCTTTTCTTTTTTGGTTGGATGGTAGCTTGGAATAAGATTCTTACCATTGAGAATCTCAGGAAACGGAATTTTCTTTTCGTGGATCGGTGTTGCTTGTGTAAGCATTCGGGGAAATCTGTTAATCATCTCTTTCTTCATTGGGACTTTGCTCTTCAGCTTTGGATGCATATGCTTAGTTCATCTAAGGTGGCGTGGGTAATGCCAAGTCATGCCATCTAGCTTTTTAGTTGTTGGGATGCTTATGGAGAAGGCTAAGTATCTAAGAAGTATTGGGGTACTGCACCACTCTCTCATGTGGTGCATTTGGAAGGAGGCAATAAAAGATTGTTTGAGGGTTTAGAATCTTCTATTGCTTCTGTGTAGTACTCTTTATTTGGCTTGGAGATCTTGTTCTGACTTCAAGTAGTTTTGTGAAGTTTTCCTTTGTTTCTTATTGTTCTTTGTTTCTTTATTTTTATAACCATTTCTGATTTACTTGAATAGATTAAAACCTTTATTATCTATAAAGAAAAACTTGCAGAAAACATACTTTTACTGCAGGCAATTTTTATGTTGTCTATGCCCAGTTTGGCTTTGTCAAATCTTTTACAAGCCAAATCATTATTTTGAAGACAATGCTTTCCGGTGATTTCAGTGAAGAAACACCTTTTGAAAAATTATTCTCTATTCTTTTGGTTAGAGTGTGATTTGATGGAGGAGCAGTCATGAATTTTCCTCTCTCTCTCTCTCTCTCTCTCTCTCTCTCTCTCTCTCTCCATGTCTGGGTTCTGAGAAGCAAGTTACTGCGAAAGATTCCTTAAGGTTTGTATTTCGCCTTCTTTCAGGCCACATGGGGATCCTCAGATGATTAGGTTTGGAGCTCATTTAGTACTTGTGCTAAGATATCTGCTTGCTGATGAAGTTAAGGATGCCTTCAAGGAGAAGATTATGACAGTTGGTGATTTCATTCTTCACATGTGAGTCTTTTTCTTGCATTAAGTAACTGTTTTTTCGATGGATTAACAAAGTATATGGACTTTAGATTCTGCAGGTTGTTAATAAGCCCTGAATTAATATAATGTCTCGCTGTTGGTCTAATTCTTCATGTAGGCAAATCTAGGGGCTAATGTGCTCCTTCATAATGAACCAGTTTGCATGTATGATAATGGGTCAGTTAGTAATCATATGCTGCTCATTCGATGATTTGCAAACTTATCTATTGATTATAACCTGTTGGTGTCAATGTCTGCTACTCGTTTTGTTAGAACTTTGTTCGGAGTTGTGACTAATCACTTGTAGAGTTGGAAAACATATTCTCCTTTCTCAAAGTTAAATAATGCCAGCCAGACGTTTTCATTTTATTCTTTATTCAGGACATGAAGGTACCTACTGCCTTGTTATACCTATATGGCCACCTGTATTTCTAGCTGTGTAGGTCTCTACAATAGTTCTGCAATGGTAGAAGATCCCTTATTTTTTTAGCGTGGTTGTCCAGTTTTCATATAGTCCATTAATTCTTCAATGGTTTTGAAGTTTGCACCGATCACTGTCTTGTGATGTTATGGAGGCAACAATTCTATGATTCATTTGCCTGTTTGGGGTTCAATTTCAGGTATGCGATGTTTCTGTTCTCAAAACAGCATGAGGAATTGGTTGGGATTTATGCTTCTCAGCTTGCTCGTCACCGATGCATTGAACTCTTTGCCCACATGATGGAACTTAGGGTGAACAGCAGGTCTGTAGATGTAGAATTGTTTTGAATCTTTCTTCTTTTGTCTCTCCTTATGTTCACGCGGTTTTGTGTGACAATCTTTTAAAGACCGTCATATTGTCGGTATAATTAACTTCTGTTGGTCTGATTGTTCAATTTACCACCTTCAAATGTGAGAATATTCCACATTTTGTATTTGCATTCTAAAATTTAAGTAGAAAGTAAATTAGGTCAAATATATCATTTGAATAAAAGCAGCACTCGTGGAAACATAGAAACTTTGAAGATGTCCTGAACATGCAAAATTACGTACCGAAGTATGATCCGGTCTTCATATCATGCATGGATAGTAACTGTTGAACTGGAGAACTTATTAGGTGGTTTAGGAGTATACTCTCTCCTCTTATATACATATGGGTCCCACATGAGGTTGGAAGGAGGTAGCATACTCTGGTTAACACTCGATAACTTTAGGTGGAAGTGGGTCCCCTATCACATGCTAGCATAAGATGCTTAGATTTAGATTTCCCTGATAATACCAAATGTGACAATCCTGGGGACAAATTTCACGAGCCATGGCATTTGAGGGATCACCATCTATGCTGTAGAGAAGCCCATAGTTTATTCTCCTAAATGGTATATTAATTGTACAGGGTATGCTTTAATGATCACTTCCTTTATGCCATTGCAGTGTCCTTCCATCACTTGTACTGTGCTGAGTGCGAAGATAACCATATTCATATGCTTGTCAGCTGCTTTGGTTTTCGTGTTTATGAGTTTGATTTCCGTTATTTTCTTGCAGTGTACATGTCAAGTATAAGATCTTCCTTTCTGCTATAGAGTACTTGCCATTTTCTCCTAGCGATGATTCAAAGGGAAGTTTCGAAGAAATAATTGAGAGGTACAAATTTCGTTTTACTGCCTTCTGGTTTTATGCTGATTACTGGAAATTTGATGAACTTTGACTTGAATAGGGTTCTGTCAAGTTCAAGAGAAACCAAAGTTAGAAAGTATGATAATACATTGGACATTGCTGAGCAGCATCGCCTTCAAAGCCTTCAAAAGGCTATGGTTATTCAGTGGCTCTGCTTCACACCACCTTCCACCATTGCAGACGTTAAGGTTATTAGTGTCAAGCTGCTGCTTCGTGCTCTAATGCATAGGTAATATCCTTTTGGGCCTTCTGGTTTTTCTTAGTTTCTTTTGTACTAAATGATGAAAAGTTAGTATAGCTTGTTTTTCATCACTTACATTTTGTTGTATTGGTAACTTGAAATCAAATGTTCTTTTCTTTCCTTTTCTTTTTAGATATTTCTGCACATTGTTCCATCTTTTGCATTTCCTCTTTTTTATATACTCATCTGATAAACACGTCTGTCTTACTTGAATCGTCACCACGATCGCTTCGCTTCGTCATTGTTATCTCATTCCTCCTGTTTCTTGGTACTCTTGTTTAAGTTTTCTTCTTCTTTTGTAGCAATATACTGTTCAGGGAATTCGCTTTGATTTCCCTTTGGAGAGTGCCTGCAATGCCCATAGGTGCTCACAAGTTACTTAGCTTCCTTGCTGAACCTCTGAAGCAGCTGTCGGAGAATCTTGATGCTCTTGAAAATTATGATATCTCGGAGGATTTAAGTGAATTCCAAGACTGGGTATGTTTCGTAGGCATGACTCATACATTTTTGTTCCATCGATATATTCCTTATGATGGTTATGTATCATTTATTTGTCAGAGTGAGTACTACTCCTGTGATGCAACTTACCGTAAATGGCTCAAAATCGAACAAGAGAATGCAGAAGTTTCTGCAGTAGAACTCTCACAGGAGGAGAAGGAAAAAGCTTCTGCTGCAGCTAGAGAAAACCTACAGTCAGCACGTTCATTACTACTGAGTAAGTGGGTTCAGCTACTGTAATTATGCTTTATGCAAAAAGCAGACACAACTTAAGACAGTTGATTTGTGTTTGATTCTTTGAACTTCCCAATTTGACCACAGGGAAAGAAAATCCCTGGTTGACTTCTCATGAAGAAAACGTGTATGAGGCAGTGGAACCTATTTACCTTGAGTTGCACGCATCTGCATTGCTCTGCCTTCCATCTGGTGAATGTATGTGTCCAGATGCCACAATTTGTGCTACGCTGATGAGTGCACTTTACTCTTCAGTGAGTGAGGAAGTGGTGTTAGGTCGGCAATTGATGGTATGATGGTCTGTTTTCATCAAATTTCTCTTCGGTTCCTTACATGCCTTATTCATGTCAGTTACGTGCTTACCGGAATTTGATGTGAAGCTAAATATGATAATTTAATCTCATGAGTGGAAAAACAAAATTCTGCCATTTTCTTCTCCTTTTTGATGAGAGATTTGCGTATTCTTACACAGAATTTCCCCTTGGAAATTCACATATTAAAAAGAAATATAGAACTAATTAGTTCTTGAGGTATATTCAAGATCAACACTTAGATGTGTGGAAAAAGCAGGGTCAAGATGTTTTGGATGATTGAGGAATTCAAGAGCAACTCTCCTTCTACATTGAATCTATTGCTGTTAACTGCATTAGTTAATCAGAACTAATGATAAGTGTTCTGCCTTTTTCCTTTTGGCCAGTATTGTTTGATGTTATTGACAATGAAACAACAATCACAGATGCCATTTTTCTTTTTTGTTATGTCCATAGGTCTATCCAAAAGATGTTACCAGGCTGTCTTCAAATGTCTCCTAAAAGTAATCCTGTCCTTTGTCTAGCTTAGTTTCCTCTCCATTTGCCTACTAATGTTGTAACTCTTCCTCGGTCGCCGGCAGCATGTAGCTTGGATTTTATTCTTGGAAACAACCTCTACCTATGATATGGGTTCGGTCTAACAGTTCCTTATGTCATTGGTTCCCAAGTATGGACTATTGATAGGAGAATGGGGAGTGTTGTCAGCTGTACTTAGTTTGATAAATGGCAGTCACTGAAGTAATTTTGGTCTTGTTCTATTAAAGTACCTAAGTGCAGCAAAGTCTAGTAGAGGAAAGCTAAGAAATTTACCGGGCATGATTGCTGAATTGACAGGTAGATAAAAGTGATCATGACATTGTGAGCTGAATTGGAAGATATCGTTTCCCTTTGCTGACGTTTTAAATGTAATGGGCAGGTGAATGTTGCTATCTCATCCAAGGATAAGTACTGCATTGAGGTTGTCCTAAGGTGCTTGGCCATCGAAGGTGACGGGTTGGGACTCCATGTACTTAATGATGGTGGCATACTTGCTAGTATGGTGGCAGCTGGCTTCAAGGGTGAGAAAAACAGTTCATAACTGCATTCATTTGTGCTCTTTTTTTAAAATTTGTTCCTTACTTGGTATGAGTTGCCCCTTAATAATGCCATTGGAGACAATATAGTGCGGGGAAAGATGAAGCAATGTGATGATGATGATGATTGTCTCTTGCTTGCTCATAAGATTTCTTGGACTGCCAAAGAAGCAGATTGGTTATTCTCTTTATTGAAAGTAAATTCCATGTGCTTGCTTATAGTGAATCGGAGTAAGTGGAGTTATGAACATATTGCATCTTTTTTCATACGTTCTATTTCATAGGGCATATCATTACATGAATGTGCCAGGAAATTTTATCTGGAGGGCTTGCCATTTTTCATTAGGAAGTGGTCTGGATGGGAAATGCTATATTAAGATTAGGAAAAAGAAATAATCTATCTCTGATCCAAATTGTGTGATTGCTCGGAAGTTCGATTCTCTGCATTTTTTGTCATATGGGCAAAAGCAATCAGATAATTGTTAATTTTCATGATGAACAACACAAACAATTTTATGGGGGTAGAAGACTAGGAGAGAGCAGGGAGGATGTAAAAGGTAAAAACTTTCACATTCTTCTTTATAATAGTTTAATCTTAATTGGAATTAACATGCATGACAACATGTCAATGTGTTTTGGCATTGTGTTGTTTAAATTAGGGTATCGTTATAGGAAGCCCTTCTTCCATCTCTTGATATTCATTTGCATCTTTTATTGAAACTCAATGATGGCACTATGCATTTTAAATTCAACTCGAGAGAAACACTAAGGATGAGCCTCTTTGATTGAACTCTTTGGGTATGCAATAGGCAGATATATTGATTTCATTGATAAAATAAACTTTAATTGTCACATAATGCTTTCTTCCTTGATTCTGTACTCGGTTTTTGTTTGTTTGTTTTTATGACTAGATCACTTGTCAAAAGAAAATGGGAACTTGGCAGTGAAACTTACTCCTAACACTGCTAAATAAGGGTCTCAACGGACTGGTTTGGTCCAGCTTTCCACCAAAAACCCTACTGAGTCACTTGTTCCAGTTTGCAGACTTTCCTATGGCTTCCCTTTCCAACCAATCAATTCAATCTGTGACAATGGGAACTCTAGTCCACCCTGAGCTTCTTCCTCACTCCTACCTGCATTTTGATGATTTCCACTCTTTACATATGATTGTATACTCCAAAATATCACAAAACCGAAGACATATGATCTGACTAAATAAATCAGTTCATTTTGGTTACGGGTTGACACATGATTTTGGTTTAACCCTCCCTCCTCTCCGGCTAGAATGATTTTGAGGACAATGAGTAACTTCGCAGGTAGATCTTGAGTCATTTGACCAGCTTGAAGTGTTCAAATGAGTGGTTGCATTGTTGCAAATATCCAATGTTTTAAAGATGCTTGGGTCTAAGGTTTCCTCATTTGGGAAAGAGGTTGATAGTCATGGAATTTGCTTGAAGAGAGTTAGTGAAGTTTAAGAGCTGTTTTTCTTTTTAGGATTTTCAGACATCGGAAAGTGAAGCAAGGGAAAAGTTAACTGTAGAAGTTATCTTGAAAAGTTAACCGGTGGGGCGATTTGATGAACTTGCTGTTGTAGACAGAGAAAAATTCAGGAAAACTTTGTAGAATAAAAGACTTCAGGAAAACTATATAGAATTATGCCAGATGGCTTATATGGTGCAATTTGGTTTCCTGATCCAATGACTGAAGACTGGCCTACATTTTTTTTTCAGATAATTGTAGATGTCCTGCTAGTAATACTCACATCTTTTTTCTCTTAGCTTTTGTTTGGTAAGCTGCTATAAGTTGTTGAAATACAATCTTTAATACCGTCTTAGGCATAATTTATGTGAAAAAAGGTTGAAATTTACCCCAAAATCCAATCTTTGAAAAACTGAAAATCAGTTCAGTCTACACAGATTGGTCCAGATTTTCAGATGCACCGGCTTATTTTCGTAGTGCTGATGACTGTTTACTGCAGGTGAGCTTGCTCGATTTCAGATTGGAGTCACCATGGAAATCTCCCGATTAGATGCTTGGTATTCAAATAAAGATGGTTCTTTGGACGGCCCAGCATCATACATCGTCCGGGGCCTGTGTCGTAGGTGTTGTCTACCAGAAGTCATTCTGCGATGCATGCAGGTGGTGTTTTCTCCCCAAAGAAGAAATCCCGTCTCTATTCTTTTTGACATTTCCAGAATACATACCAAAATGGATGCACAGTGCATCCCATCTGTCTTTCAGTTTATTGAGCTGTTCTCTATGCAATGCAGGTCTTGGTGTCTGTTGTGGAGTCTGGTGGCCTTCCCGAAAGCCATGACGATCTGATTGAACTGATCACTTCACCTGAAACAGGGCTACTTCATCTGTTTAGTCAGCAACAGTTGCAGGTAAATTTGATACTAGTACTTGATACGGGATTTTGGGTCTTCCCATATCGTGGAAGACCTGACTTTGTTGCACGCATATTTTAGTGGCATGATAATGATTCACTCGAGTCCTCCGGGTCCTCTTTGGTGTAAATTGTCTTTGATACTTTTAATTCTGCACCCTGTGGACAAAGGACATCTCGATCATACACTTTTATTGTGTCTAGAATGGAGCGTGGTTTTACTCTCTTTTATACTTTTCTTACAAAAAGTAGTGTCCAACTTATATTCATTTCGCCTACTCTTGTGGGATTGTTCCAGTAACTTGAATATGCTGATGGTGTCATTGGTTTTTTCCAGGAATTTTTGTTCTTAGAGAGGGAATACTCCATATGCAGCATGGAGCAACGGCAAGTTGATGAATAGGCCTATTGTAAATTTAACCTGATCGGCTCTTCTTCTTTTTTTAAACTTCGTAAAGCATGAGGCGAGGAGCCAAAAAAGAGAAAATGAAGGTCGTTTTGGAAGTCTAATGACTAGTCCTCTCTCTCTCTCTCTCTCTCTCTGTACAATCAAGAAGTGTGAAGTTGAGCATTTCATTGATCTTATGTAAATTATCCACCGGGACCGAGGCTTTGTTTATAGAAGGGGGCGTCATAAATATTTGAATTGGGCAAGAATTAGCTGTTATTCGCTAGGTGTAGCCCATTTATTGGTGCTTCCCGTTATATGGTCTGATCGTTTGTGTTAACAGAGAGAGAGAGAGGGGTGTGAAGACAATGGGAAAAGAAAAAACTGATAGTGTGTGGTGGAGTGCATGAGTGCATATTACTAACATAAATAAAGAAACGACATCTTTACGAGCGGCAGCCACTTCTTTACCCTTTGAACTTCAAGGAGTTACACCGACCAAAAAAAAAAAAAAACTTGAAGGAGTTATAGGAGATTCATTACAATTTTGCATTGTGAAATTTGAATCAATTTGACAAGATCGGTAAAATACGGCGGATGTTGCATCAGTTTTCTTCAATTCAAACACGGTTTTTAATGATTGTGGAGAACTTGCTCCGTCTTTACTTTCGACGGTTGTAGCGGATAACACCACGGGGGGGACGGGGAAATGAAATCAAATACATTAATTCAATGGACTAGTGGAAGCCAGGAGATCAGTTTGAGTGGCATAATTGCTCCCACTTTTTGAGGTCTTGACCAGAGGGTTGTAGAAAACTGAAGAGGGCGTTTCCCAGGTGGCTCCGGTGGCCATTGAGAGGGTGGCAGTGGCGGCGCCAGCACCGAGACGAATTTTTATGTCGGTAGACATGTTAGCCAAATCAAGTATGTTAACGACAAGCGGACTGCATTGTGCAAATTAAGATCCGACTGAACAATGTGCACAAGTTAAAAGATCGAAACCGTAATTGGTCATAAGAAAACAAAGATTAGGCTTTAGCAATAAAATAGCGATCGGACAAAGTACTTGACCATCTGAATGTAACACACTTCAGGCAACACCAGGTTTAATATCTGAATCGTGGAAAAGCTGGTCAGATTTGTTATGTATCTCCTTTTTTTATATGCTTCTAGTATTCTACCATTCTAATTCTTCATCCTGACTTTGAATCACAACTTAGACTTTCACCCACAATGGATAAGTTTCTGCTCTCAGCTAACCGACACAGCACAAACAGTTCGATTTATCTTTATAATCATCACAAAAAGCAAGGTGGTATCAACGAACAGATAAAATTAATAAAGGTGCCGAAGTATGCAAATTAACAGTAAAAAAATGCAAGTTTTGCTGTTGAATCATCAGAATACAGTAGTCTGTTCAACTTACTCAATCGAATCTTGGGTAACTTCTTAGATGAAATACTTAACCATCTGAATTTCCTTCTGCTTGAAGCCACACTTCTCATAGAATGCTTTATTCTCATTGATGCAGTCAAGAATCGCCTTATAGCAACCCACAGATCGGGCATGATCAGCAAGAAAAGAAAGAACCTTCTTCCCTAACTGCATCCCCCTAGAATCACGATCAACGACCACGTCTTCGATATGCCCAACCTTGCCACAGTTCCTTATGAACTTCTTCTCGATGAACACACTTCCAGTGGCGATGATCTTTCCGAGACTAGTATCCTCGATCACACAAATCACATGGTCATCGCCCAGAGAGCTGAGCTCTTGGAACCGTATTTCAAAATCCTTATCAGAGATCGCATCGCAAACTGTCAGTTGCTGTAGTAGCTCTACAAACCCTTTGTTTTTGTCAGAGATCTCTAGTTTCCGAACTTGAAGATTGCGTGCTTCATTTAGTGGGACCCCCGTCTGCATTTCCGGAGATGACGCTTCTGTTTACACCAACTTCATTCACATCAACAAGCAAAGTATGAGAGATCATAGAATTTAAGAAAAGAACATGGAACGCACTTAGAAGCTCCACTATGTTAATAAAGTAAAGGTAAACGACACATAAGACGCACATCATTTGCCTATCTAAACAAGCCACCTCGCACAGACTTGTAGTGGCCAAATCTGCTGAGCTCTAAATCAAAAAGCAAAAGATAAATGCAATTCACTAAATGTTTCCACTTTTCTGCCTTCTTCTGTCTACCATATATTAATGAAAATGTGATATCAGTTACTTCCTAGTGAGTCTGTTTGCAAAAGATAAAAACAAGAGGAGGAGGAGGAGAACTTGCTAGTGAGGCTAAATTAGTATGTATGTACTCAATACAAAGAGCAAAAAGAAGCAGTTCTATAGCGTCCTTTGTTTACATAGTGATATTCTCACTTTAAATTTTAAAGTTAGAAAGCAGAATCAAAGCATCTTATCTACAGCCTGGCAACAATTACCGCTGAAAAACAGAGCATGGTGAACAAGTTTCCTTGGCTTTGTCAATTTCAAAACCGCTCGTTAAACTTTCAAATAAAATTCTAACTAGGAATAAGCCATTAGTTGCTTTCTTTGTTACACAGTAGGTATCTGTAATGACGTTTGGTGTTAATACACAACAACACCATTTTTCATCGATAAATTGGAAAACAACATATGCAGTGCTTATTAGTCAAAAACTCACAAAATGGAGTTGTTCTTTCTCAAAGCATAAAATGACTCACAAGCTTTTTCTTACCTGGACTTAGTTCATGTCTAGGATATGGCAGAACATATAATCCAATAAAATATGCACAGAGAAATCAGATAAGCCAAAAAATAATAATAATAATAATAACTAACTCGACACTTCTGCATATTTTGGAAACAATGCCCATGATCACCATACAACAACAGGAACTTTTGCCCACACTTATTAAGTGATTTCCCAGCATTCGTAAATGCCAGTACAATTCTTATGGGCAAAAGAGCAAAATGACGCTGAGAGCGATGTTGATTAAAGTTTCGCCGTCAATTGTTACAAATGCTGGTAAAGACATCCAAAAATGCCACCAAAAGTTCTCTCTTTAACGGCATTTGCAAAATGCCGTGATCTGTATTACTTGTAGCAACAATTGTAAGTGCCCGTAAAAGTCATTGCAAATGTCACCGAAAATATTGCTTCATCACAAATTACGTCCACTTAAAACTGTGAGGTTGAGACAGAGAGCGACAATCAGATTACAGAGTTTGCGACACTCATTAAAGACGCAATGAACCCCTAAACAGCCATTTCAGTATCGGAAGATTCCCCACAAAAGCAGAAGACACCGATCGATTACGAAAGCTTCATATCAACTCATGCACCAAAATGCAAACCAATGGTGATGGCGTGCTAGCTTGCACACCGACAATGGCAAAGGCAACGACTGTGGCGATTCGGCGAGGCATTGGAAAGAAAGGGTGCTAAAAATTATTTTTGTTTCTAAAAAGGGAGGTGGAGGGGAAAACAAAACCCTTTACCATTCTTGTAATCCGAGGAAATTGTCAAAAATGCAAGCAATTTTACCGGAAATTGTCAAAAATGCAATCTGGGTCATGTGAATTTTGCCTGATGAGCACAGACCAATAGTAACTAAAAGTCAGCAATCTCTTTCCTACAAAAGCCAGACACAACAACAATCTAAGGAAAAACAGTACACTAGACTGTCCCGCGCTTTCCTAGAGTGCGATTGAGCTTAGCCATCATGTAATTGAAATTCCCAGAATCGCACGATTGCCGGCATCGGCGCTCGACACCCGACACTGTGTCTAGTGCTTTGAATTCAGAAAGAGCTTAGGGATTGCCTCGAAGAGAAAGAAAAAAAACAAAAAGGATTACGCCATTCACAACGCTCGTAATCACGATCACAAAGCCTGAACTGAAAGAGTACCTTCCGCTCGATTCGAACTGGATGCGCGCCGAGTGATTGATGAAATGCGCGAGAGAGAGAGAGAGAGGAGGCAAAGACACCGAGATTTGCTGGGTCCAACTGGCGAAATGTTTCCTCCAAAAATACGAGGAGGGCCAAAAACGGAATTTCGGTTTGATTAGCGGGGAGAAGAAAGGTAAATTACAAGGTCAGAAAATAAATGGATACGTTTTTCTAAAAGTCCTAAAATTTATCGCGAAAGTTCCGTTGTGTTCTAAAACATTCAAAAAGTGCAATCGAATTCTAAAACTTATCAAAACCGTCAATTTGTCTAGCGAAAAATGCTAATGTAGCATTTTTAATAATTTTTTTTCCTACGCGGAATTTTTTTTTATTATTAACAAACTATTTGAATTAAATTAAAAAAAATTATAAAAATTATAAAAAAACAAAAAAGAAAAAAAGAAAAGAAAGAAGGAGCTTTGCCAGTGGGGTGCCGTCGCCCATCGAGGGGCCAGTGACCTCTGCCGACCCTGGGTGAGGGCGCCTAGATTTGGGCAATGCTGGCCCTCAGCTGAGGTAGGTTATGACCTGAGGCCACTGACTAGGGCTGTAAACGGTTCGGTTCGGTTCGGTTTTCTTGAAAAACCGAACCGTTAAGGAAGCATCCCTGAACCGAACCGAAACTTGCTTGAACCGAATTGGAACCGAACCGAAAAACCGATTTGGTTCGGTTTGGTTCGGTTCGGTTCGGATTAGTTTTCGGTTTCTTCTTCTTCTTTTTTTACTGAGCAAGTACAGAACAACAGCAACGCAGGGTACTCCGTTCAACACATTCCAATTCTCTAAGACTATCATAATCCACATATAACACAATCAGCCAATCCGCACTATCGAACGCATACCAGAACAACAAAAACATCGAAGCCCTAACCTTTTCACCCCAAAGAAGAACACTCGGGAACTCTCTGGGTTTGTCGCGGCCGCGAATCTGCTTCGGAATCGTGCAGCAAAATCGGAGCTTTGTCGAACAGGCGTGAACAGGTATCCTTCGGTGATGGGGATGATACCGCCGGTGCCCTTGCACCAAGAGCCGCCGCCGACGACGGGGAACCGAGGAACGGAAAAGGTGACGATGGCGAGGCTCGGTCGCGATCTCGTCTCGGTAGGGCTCGGTCGTGCGGACCGGCGGAGGAAAACGCCCGGCTCGGGCCCGTGATCCCGGCGGGAGCTGCGGCCGTCGGAGGCGGCGGCGGCGGCGGAGGGGGGGGGGAGTCGCGAATTTCGGAGGCGGAGCAGCGAGGAGGAGAGGGACAGGGAGAGAGGGAGATGCGAGCGGGAGAGAGGGCAAGATAGGGCTTTTTAGGGCTAAAACCGAATTCTTTATTTCAGTTCGGTTCGATCCGAACTTATCCGAACCGAACTGAAATAAACCGAATTAAAAAAAATGGTTAATTTTGATTATCCGAACCGAAATCGAAACCGAACCGAAATGCATGAAATTTTCGGTTCGTATCTCTGTTCGATTTTTCGGTTCGGTTCTGACACCCATACCAGTAACCATCACCTGCCCTGGACGAGGCCTCGCAAGCCCAAGACAAGGGCTATTGACCCTCGCTAGGCCTAGGCAATACCTCGTTGGCCCTCACCTAAGGCTAGTGAGGCTCGCCTAAATCTAGGTTGAGGGCACCTCGACCGGGGCGATGCCCGACCTTCGCCTGGGGCCGACGAGCTTTGCAAGCCTTGGGCAAGGGTTCGTCGACCCCTGTGGCGATGGGTGGCAGCCGTAGCTCCCACATGCAGGCCTTAGTATTTTTTTTTTTTCAAATTTTGTTTTTTTTAAGAAAATTTTATCCGTTTTAGTTTTCTTAATTTAATTTAAATAATTTTTTAATAACAAAATAATAATAGAATTTCGTGCAGAAAATTCTTTTATTGATAGATGCCACATCAGTATTTTCCAGTAGAAAAATTGATAGTGTTAATTTTAAGACTCGATTAAATCAATTTGACAAATTTTAAAAATCGATTGTACTTTTTGAAAGTTTTAGGACTCAATTACATTTTCGCGACAAATTTTAGGATTTCTTGTGAACATATCCCTAAGATAAATCTCTTGAACCTTGATTCAATGTGCAATGTGGTAGTCCAATTTTTAATTTGTTCTATGGAATCTCTTAACTTTATCTCAAAGTGCAATTTGATCTATCAAATTAAATATGTACCAAAAATTTAAGAATTATATTAGTTAAAGTTCATGAATTATATGAATAAAATAAATAATTTAAAAGCTCGGTGATCATTTTTGTCCTTACCCACGAATAAACGCAAACAAGAATCGAAAATCTGTTCTTCCTTTTCCATCTCTCTCGATTCTCTGGTAAAAGTGGTGAAGAAGAAGAAGAAGCAGGAGGAGGAGGAGAAGGAGGGGAGTTTTGCGTCTTCATCCGAGCCTCTGAGAGCTTCTTCGACGATGCTACCTGCGTCCATCTTCGCTGCGTGCGTGAGACGATACCATTGATTCGAAGCCGGTGCAATCCTCCCCTCCGCGAAGCGAGCCGCCCTCCTCCTCCTCCCTAATCTCCCGGAGCCACACGGATCGCGCGCTCCCTCTCGATTCGTGTCGAAGATCGGGGCGGGGCCGGAATCGGATCAGGTAATCTAGTTCAGCTCGTTCGTTCGAATGGGCTCTTGGTGGTGGGGGGAACAAGAAGAAGAAGAGCTGCTTGTTCTCAGCCTCGATGTGTCGTTTGCTTGGCGCAGTTATCTATCTGCGTCTGTGGCCTGTGCGGTGTTCTTATGTTGGTATGCGGGAATTCTTTGGTCGTTTGTGATGATGTCGCCGGAACTGTCCGCGCGGCTGCGGGCGGAAGTCGCCGCGAGGGGCGAGCCCGGTAAATGGATTAATCCATTGGACTTTTCCGTTGTGGTGAACGGTCGATATGGAAGTCCGGGGAACTGCGTGAATGTAGGGATGTCAGTCCAGTCGCCGGGGGATTGCTGAAGGCTTTTTAGATTATTTCGGAGCTGATTCGACGGACTCTTGGGAGATCCATTTCGTGTTTAGAAATGCCGCGAGCGACTCCCGGTTCGTGGGTTTAGGACTAGCTGGGCAAAGCTCTTGTCTTTAGAAACATATTCTTGAGTTCTCTTGCATCATCTTGTTGTCTTCGGAAGTTAAGATTAGTCTGTCCCCTTCACGTCACTCAGAGACTGCGAAAATTGTTCTGTGAGATATCTTTCGGTGATATGGCATTTCATGTGAGATGAGTTTGGAGATTCATTTAGATTATAGTCATGTGCACACTCAGTTTACTAGATCTTAAGAGCCTGGTGTTGCTATTGTGCGATTGATATAATGTCAATTTGTTATCGGCAAAATGTTAAGTTCTGTTGAAATAACTACAGAAAAGCGTAGTAGGCATCGGGCTTTGTTTGGTCAGCATTTTCTTTTTTTCGAGTAGTTAAGTTTCGTTGTTGGAAGACTTTTTGGCTGTGAAGTTCCTTAAGGGGCAAAAGGTATGGCAGTTGTATCTTTATTTGATCAGAATTAATCCTACTGGTTGAACTTAAAGATGGTTAAATCTTAGTGTGTCCTCTGAACTTTTGGATGAATAATATCTTGCTGAATAAGATGGAAATAATCTACCGCAAGCTTAAGAATTTGTCTAGTTAAAATGTTAAGCTTAGTGAATTGATTGATGTTGCAAATTTTGGTCAGGACTGGTTGTGGTTCATGTATGCATGTTTACAAAAGCAGGAAATATTGATTTCTGTGACTAGATCAAATTCACATCCAAGCAACCCTCGCTCATTATAATAACACATATCTCCTTGAGGTGAAGTCTTGCCTTAGGTTGTCTTCACAAGCCCCCATTTGACACTGTATGAGCGGTGACTTCTCTGGTCAATAGACAAAGCTGTCATTTTTTAGTTTCTTAATAATATCGGAAAAGTATAAAGTTGCTGGAGACAGGAGTTAATGAATGATTCTGATGATGATCTTTATGTTTCCAGATCCACAAACTGGAGCAAGAGATATCCATAAAACATAAAAATGTCATTGATTAAGCGCATAACTCCATTTTTTGCTGCTCGGATTCGAGAGAACCATAGGCTTTTGAGCTCTTCTGCTTCAGCACTTCGTGAAGCTTCTTCCTCGCCATTGCCATCTCCTGATGACGTACACCTAACTGACAGTTGCATTCAGGTATTTTTATCTTAATATGATATTGATGGGCTTCAAAAGAGGGAGTATGTAAAGCTTAGATGTAGTTGACACTGACTGAGGACCTGTATTTGATTGGCTTCATCTTAGATCCCTATGCTTTCTGAATCCTATAGTTCCAACTGGGTACCGAGGTAAATGGATATTTAGGTAACACTTTAAAAAATTCACCAACTCTATGTTGGATCAATAGGATAGTTTGCATATTAGGGAAAGTAATGGTACCCATAATTATAGTTGTCCTTTTCTTTTCCAAGCATGGCACCTAGATGGGATGGCTAGTAAGTTTGTGAAAATAGTTATAGTCACAATATTCATTGTAATACTCCCTTAGTTAGATCTCATACCATCTCTATCTTGGAGTTGGCAAGCACTCCATGGTGCCTTCTACATGAAATCTTATTTTATAGCAGCAGTGCTTTTTGGTAACAGAATGTTGACTATAAAAGTATTCCATGTATCCTCGTATGCATGATTTTCAGAAATATGGTCGGTTTGTGAGAGTTGCAGCTTCTTCAATGGCTTAGATCATGTAGAAGAACACTTTATAAGTAGAATAGGAGAGGATTTACATCAACATAGAATGCTTTGAACGTAGAGTATCTAAGGAGCAGGGATAGTGATCCTTTTCCTCTTGTCGAGTCATTTTCAAGTTCTGATTGACTGTAGGACTACCTTTCAGAGAATGAAAGAACTGCAGGCGAGTGAAAGATCCTGTACTGAGAAACTGCTCCGCTTGAGTGTAGAAACTGGTGGATGTTCGGGGTTCCAGTACGTTTTCGATTTGGATGACAAAGCGAATTCAGACGACAGGTACTCACTGAAAGTACAGGAGAGAAGTTTTGCTTTCTACATGGTTTCTCCTGTATTGACCAAGATGTGAAAATTCATTTGAGCTATCTTGCTTTCAGGATTTTTGAGAGAGAAGGAGTTAAACTTGTTGTAGACAATATTTCATATGATTTTGTGAAAGGGGCAACTGTTGACTATGTTGAAGAGCTTATCCGTTCAGCTTTCCAGGTAGCTGTTGTGACAGTGGACCTTGAATATAACAATTATGTTCCCGTTTTACATTTCACTGATACTGCAACTATCGGAGAGATCAATTTGCTTATTTATGAATTTTTCACAACAGAGTGAGCTGTTGGAATAATTCTTTCTTTTCCTCATTTTCATGTTTGTCTATGGTTAGGCTTACCTTGACCGACAACTCGTAATTTCTGGTGTCATGTGCAGGTAACTACAAACCCAAGTGCAGTGGGAGGGTGTAGCTGCAAAAGTTCTTTCATGGTAAAACAGTAATCCTCACATTTCTCGCTCTCCACTGACATATAGTCAGTTCTCGAGAAAATTTAGCGTTCCTCGATTACTATGTGCCATCGAGTCATTTGTTGTAAAGTTGGACACAGGAGTTAACAGACTCTTGACACTTAACAGGTGTAATGCTACTCATTTGTAAGTTCTATAACTGAGCCTGCTTTTTGGACTTTTGACAAATTTTTTTTTGACGATTCCATCCATGCCTTGTTTATGCGTCTAGTGGACCGTTTATAGGTTAGTCGGTTTGGGGCACCTATTGGCGGCGTCTGAAAACTCCATATATTCATAAAGAAGATTTGGTTGGCAGAAGAAAAGAAGGATTGGTAAAGTTCATCACAATGCTAAAATCGGAAGCTGTTGAGAGATGACAGGGTTCCCCATGGTGCCCTCGTGATGCAACGATTTGCCAGATCCAATCGAAATCTGAAAAGAACAAAAATGACGCATGGTTGCATGAACTGGTAAACCGTCTGCCCTTCTTCCCTAGCTATTAAAATGGCATGGATTGCAATAAACATTGTTTAGGACGTGCATAAAAGATGCGTGGATGAAAAACTTAAGTCCCCGGATGTTGCACCTTGAGCTCCGAATACCAATCTTTAAGAATCTCAAAGAGAACCCAACATTCGCAATGGAAGAATCTCAAAGCGAATCTAATCAAGGTGTTTAATAAAGACATGGTGCTATATCAGATGACGCCAAAGCTTGTGTACGAGAAAACACTGTGCAGATGGGAAAATAATAACAAAATCCCGACCTATCATAGTTATAACTTCCAATTTGCATTTCTCTATATAAACTTGGTAGTCAAAAGACCAAATACCTTATAAATATCAATAAATCGTTATACCTAATTCAACATTAACCGTGACCTTAAGACCCTCTAATCTTAATCTCTCTCCCACCATCAAACCACTAGCTAACCTTCATAGCAGAAGAGAGAGAGAGAGAGAGAGAGAGAGAGGTTTTATTGGTGCATTGTATCTTAGGCAGAAGGGTGGCGGCTCGGGTTTCGGGAGGAGAGTGAACGGAGCATTTAATGAACTATGTTTTCTGGTTGGTGGAGTGTGAAGATTAATAGGAGTATTAACTGTGCTGATATTATTTGCAAATTCAAGGAGCAAATTGGCTAACTGAAAAATTAATATAAGCAAAATTGTTTAGGGGCAAAAGTTAGAGAGGATGATTTGATTCTCCCTTGGTAAATTCATCAAAGTTAGACATTGCAAAAGGATAAGCTTGACATATTCTCAACATCCCGTTCATCCAAGACAATCATATCGTGTCAAGTACTATGAATTGCCATGCTCATAGCGCACCTAAAAGACATTAATTCGAAAACTGGCACTACACAGGTCCACAAAGCCAATTTTAAACTCTCCATGAACTCAAGCTGTGATTTTTCCTTTTGCAATTTCAAATAAAAAGCTCAAGCAAAGAGAATCCAGAGCACAAGCACCAAAACGTTAATAGTCGTTACTGGATTGCATCAAAGAGCAGACACACAGGTTACAGAGACTCTTGGGCAAAAAACAGCTGAAATTCAGTAAATACTGCCACTGATGATTCCACAAAGAGAAACATTTTAGTAACACAAGGTTACAAAATTAAGTTTTGAGGCAACCATGCGCATGAAACTTATTCAAGAATGGAAAGTGCAACACAAATGCATCCTCCAAGAACTCAGAAGCATAAATACATGCTGCAGTTGTCAGGAGGAAAAATATCACTCTTCTGATTGCCTTTGACCCAAAACTGGAATGTCCTCGTACCGTTTCTGCGGATCACAAACACAAACATGATTTAAACCCAGACACATGAAAAGATCACACGGTGCAAAGGTCTTAAAGTGAGGACTGTCACACAACAAGAACTTCAAGAAGCAAAGAAATCAACAGCTGTCAATACTGTTGCCAGCCAAAATAGCCAAGATTCTGTCACTTCAAAGACCGCCTGTCCTTTCTATTTATAGCTTCATTAAATCGAAACAAAAAAATGTTGCCGGCCTCGGACTAGTGCAGCAATCAAATGAAGTACGTCACCCACAGAGCCCAAAGGTTTTCACTTTTCATTTACTATCCTCTCTCAATAAGGAAGAAAAGTAAGGCAAAGGAATAGATACATATTATTAACTGCAAACCCAGCATCGGCGCACCTACTATGAAGACCACGTAAGGCCATGGCAACAATACCCACTGATGACGTTGACAAAACACATGATTATAACACCGAGTATATAGCTACATATCTTTCTACATATTAAGAAAATAGTTGATGTTTTTCATCGATGAATTCTACTTTAATACATTTGTTTTATAATCCAACTTGGTGGGACATTACAGAGATGAACACAATTGGTTACAACAAGGTAGTTTCTTTGTAATCCACTCTCTCCACTCTCTTTTCTACTCCACTTCATGTCTTCTTGTGCACATCTATTAGCCTTGCTCAATCTTGCACACAAGTAATTGTGTGCCCCTCAACTCGTATATATCATATGACCCACGCACTCCCAAATAGATGGTCTTGCTAAAGAATTCCGCATTACTTGCTATTGCATTTTGATCCGCATTATATACATGTGGTCTTCGTCTATCTAACTTAGTTTGGTTGGGCTTTCTAAGCTCGTATTAGAGCCAGCTTCCGCCCTGGATCGATCCCGAGTGTGAAGCCTACTAATTCATTGAATTCCACGTGCCATTCATAGTCCATTTTGCACGTGAGAGGGGGTGTTAAGAGTATCCTATGTGACTAGTTTATGGGATTTCAACACCTGGCAGTTTAAATTTTTTGTTGGACTTTCTAACATATCCCACAACCACGAGATCCAGCACTTCGATCATAATATGATGAAAAGAGAAGGCACTTACTAGTATTCCAAAGCAAGAATTTTTCTAATCACAAAAACAATGATGACCACTCGATAACAGGAAACCCACATAATGTTCAAAGTAAAAAAACTATCTGATTCTTTATTTTCTTGGTAAGTAAAAAACGTCCCCTTGCCTCCAAGCCCCGGTTCCTTAAGGGGAATGGGTAGCATACTAAGAAAAAAAGAATACCGCTTAGAACATTTGAAGATCTGCCCAGAATTCATGACTCACTATTCAAAGATTATATGAGCCATTTCTAATAGCAAAAATCTCAACAGCATTGATCTTTCACAACTTGATATAAGTTTCATCAGATTATCGTGATTGAAACACACAGAATTTCTACCACAGCTAGAGATGCATTTACAGATCATTGATTGTCTGGATGCGGGTAAAGAGATATGAAGAGCAAAGCATATATGGAGACAGATGCGTACCCCAACGTTGTTGTACTCCCAGAGCTTATGAACTCCGTAGTCCACAGCCTGCATCAAATTGTTTCGGCGACATAATTAGCATATAAGGTCCACTACACATGACCACTAACCTGGAAAAGAAAATGCAATAGCCCCAAGACACATTTCATTCTCGAACGCACAGTACCCAAATTCCCCATTTACTTTTCATTGAACCCAAAATGCCCATTACCCAACAAAGTAATTTCATAACAATGACCAAGCTGATCCGACCTTCTAATGGAAAACCACCGCAGATCACTGAAAATCCATAAAACATCTCAATTGAAGAAACACTCTGAGCAATACCAAGATACAATCGAAAATTTTCTTTTTGTTCAATTAACTCAAAACTCGGAACAAAAAAAATCAAAACTGCAAATCCAAAACCCCAAGCAGCGGAAGACACAACGATCTCATTCCCCAGCTTAAATCCTCCAAAGCCTCGACGAACCCCACGGACAACAGAACTCGAAAAGAGGATCAACCCAAAAGCAAAGGACCATTTCAGATTGGAATCTCGGTACCGAGATCGTAGCTCACCCGTTCTCCGAGAAAAGCTCCGGCGACGACGAAGGTGACGTAGACGGAGTTCCGGCGCATGATGACCCGGTAGAAGCCTTCGAGGAGGCCGCCTCCGCTTCTGCGAGCTGCCGATTCCATGGCTAGGCGCTTCGAATCTCCGTCAATCGATCGCAATCGCTCTCGCAGGTCGCGTGGGTCAGTTAGGGTTCGTGCGAACACGCTCCTCAGCGGAAAACGAATGATATGGAGATGGCCGGTTTAGCTCGGGACCTGCTAAGAGAACGAACCGTAATGGTTTGAACCGGGATCGTTCAGTTGAACCCGGTTCAACATGCCTTCGCATGGGCCGGATTCTTGCAGGCCCGCGCTTTGCATTTTGCTTTTGCCCTATCAACTTCATCGGATCGAATCCAATGTGTCCACCGGTTCTTTGGTAATTGTGGGAAATACAGGTACAAATTAGGGCTTCGTTTGTTTAGCAGAAAATGAAAAAACATTTCTTAAAAATGATCACTTGTATTACTTCAAATTCCATTATCGGCAGCAATTTATATCTAAACATTTTTGCGGACGATGAAAATTTTTTTCGTTCATTTATTTTACAAGCGATACAGCCGATCATGTTTAAGATAATGTTTTTCAAATCATTCATGAGCCTATGCTCATTTGACTCTATTGCCAGCAGCCTTCCACTATATGTACAAAATCTCGTTCTCTGAAGGGTTAACATGAGTTGATCTAATTCACGTAATATAGGTTTCGTTTTCACTTCGAAGTACTTGGAGCACATGTTGGCGGCGTAAAATTGCCACGGACAATCGTAATTCGCTCTTAATTCAATGGCTAGTAAGAGAGTAAGTAGTCAAAATCCTCAAATTAAGAGCATAAAAAGTCATTCTCATAAGATTTTCTATACATAAATACTCTAATTGTTAGTTTTTTCCTTTTTCATTCATGATATTGTTATTTCTTGTTAAAATATGAATTGCGTTAAATAACACTAGGATTTAAATTTTCGCATATAAATTTTCGCTATGACTAATATCTTTGTAATATGTCAAGTGTTATTTGACACTAAATAAGCTCATAAGTAAAGAGAGAGTATACATATATAAAGAGCGTATGAACTCTCATTTGCCATGGTAGGAACGGCATGTGGAATTTGACGAACAAAGAGCCAAACACGCGAAATGAACTATGGTGGAATTTGACTTTGATATCACGTTAGAATGTCTAATCTTAAAGCTTAAATTTATTAGGAAAAATGACGTAAATGGTCTCCGAATTTTGGCTCAATGTGCACTGTAGTCCATGAGTTTTAAATTTGTTTAATATGATTCCTAAATTTTAGCCCAATGTATAATATGGTTCTTGAATTTTAAATTTGTTCAATTCGATCCTCGAACTTTTTGTAGATGTTTAATTTAGTTCCTCAACTTGATAATCCAAAGACCAGACCATGGATGTAATAAGCTAGCGACTAGATTGGATATTTACCATAAACTAAGGGACCACATTACACAATAGGTTAAAATTCAAATACCGCATGGAATAAATTAAAAATTTAGGAATCATATTGTATGTTGGGCCAAAATTCAAGTATCACTTGTGACGTTATTTCGACTTATAAAGAGTAGGGGTGAGCGATTCCATATTCTTTACAGTTTTCGCTTGAAACTTGGAACCTATCCGCGTGTATAGGTTCCTCATTTTTTGGAATATGAAACTTACCCGTTAGAACTTGAATGCTATCATGTCACACATTCTAGGGTCTAACGGGCTCTTTTTTTGTTTCATTTTTTGTTAAGCAAAACAAAAATGAGCCAACAATAAAAATGAAAGCTTCTCATTAATTCAGTCAACAAAAAAAAAACACAAGGACTATTGTACCAGTTCATTTTTGTTAGGACCAGCCTAATTGCTAGTAAATCGAATCCAAGGCTATATTTCTCATCCTCAAAAAGTGAATAATGTGATATCCTGAACTTCCATATGTCAAAGAAATGTGAGGACCCTAAAAGGTTGGAGCGCTCATCGACAGAAATTGAGAATTTCGAACTTAGAAGTTCAGGTGTCATTTTAACGCCATCATTGTCACCTTTGAGATCATATACCGTGTTTCTTGGTTTCCTTCGCCATGCGGCCCGACTCTTTGCCGCATCACCCACACTTTCATTTTCCCTCCATTTCTCTCCTCCCTCTTACTGCTAGCTTCACCGCCCTCTTGCTTTTCATTTTTTTCTCTTTTCTTCTTCCCCTCCGCCACTTGGCGGAGGAGAAGTGCCAAGTGGCGCCCACCTTGGGCCGTGTGGCTCCACCACCCCATACGGCCAATGGCCATACATGCAAGGAACGGGGAAAACCCCTTGACTCTCTTCCCCCCCCCCCCCCCCCTCATTTTTCCTTTCTTCCCGCTGGTTCTCTCACTTGCTCTCTCTCTCTCTCTCTCTCTCTCTCTCTCTCTCTCTCTCTCTCTCTCTCTCTCTCTCTTCGCTTGGAACTCCACCAGCCGCTCGATCCATCCGTGGCAGCCGTCCACCGCACAACGCCGCCCGACCAGTCACCGCTCCCTCCGCCATCCCGTCTCCTCTCATTGGCAACAGCAGCAGCCACCGCAAGCCCGGAAAATGCCACGCCGTGCTCTCCCTCTCTCTACGCCTTATATCAGGAACCGCGCGCCACGCCGCCGCACTCACCGTTAAGGCAAGTGTACTCTCTCACCCTATACTAAACATTATAGTGTTTGCATGTCGAGTTTAGGTCTCAAATTATATAATCTGGTGCTAGGATGTTATGGGGGAAATTGTTGATTATGTTCGGCTGAGGCGGGGTTGTGATGGAGAGTCCGATGAATTTGTGTGTTCGCCAAGCTTGTTGGCGAGGTTGGAGATCCTTAGGAAGTCGTGGCAAGAATGGACATTCAATTGGGTGTCGTAGAGGAGCCTAACGATCGGCTAGATGCTCTAGCTTGGTCGGCGAGGTGGGCCGAGTGCCCCGGCACAGACAGCGGCGTTGGCAGTGGAAGATGAGTGCGACCAAGAAGCCAATCACTTGATTGGTGGAATAACCAGGCATCCAGCATGGTCTTGGGCCGAAGGTCTCGTGTTTTCGGAAAATATTGTAAGCTTTCAAGATCGTATGAGGTAATTTGGGAATCGCAGATTAGAAATTAAGAAATAATAGATATTATATAGTAAGGAGTCTATAGTCGTATATTAGAAATGGTGAGAAGTTGTTGAATTGATACTCATGAATTGGTTTGGAGTCCGAGGAGTGCACGGTAAGTTATAAGTTTATTGTGAACTATGCATGTGATAAATGAAAAGATTGCTTGTGCGTGTGAATGTGTGACTAAGAGATGAATCGATGCCATCGATTTACATACGACGGTGCCCCGAGGAGCCGTAGGGAATGCGGGATGCCGTGGTCAGTGGACTACGATGCCTAAGAGGAGCTATGCCCTAGATTCCCTGGGAGTATGATCGGGATGCCGTGGTCAGTGGACTACGAAGCCTGCGCGGACTGATGAGAATACTGGCGTATACTGCGGCAGACCGGAGGGCGCGCCGAATACTGCTAGACGGGATGTTCCTCCTTGCGTGGCTGGCGTGCGCACCGGACATGTGCCTTGGAGTGGAGATTAAAGTTTGATTAATGACGTAAAATGCATGCGTCGTATGCTCGTGTTATCGCCTGTTCCATTGATTTTTGATCTTAATGCCCGGTGATTGGTAGCAGAGAAAGAAAAGGGAGTCTATGCATGCTATGGCTGGCTTATTGATTAGTTTAGTTATCTATCTGATTGATCCTGTTGATATGCTTGACATTATCTATTTAATATAGCATGATAGAGTTTATTTTGCTAAGCTTTCGCTCACTATTTATTGTTGATAACTTTTTACAGATATGTAGCTATGCCGATACTTCCCACATCGACCTCCATTAGTTTTGGAGCACCCATCGATTTCGAGAGCCATCTGTCTGAGTTCATGGACCCTGATTACCCAGTGATAGTCTTTTTTAAGTGTATCTCTATTTTGACAGTAGATATTGGGTCCCTAGTGGGACTCATACTTTTGGAGTTTGTAGTCGTCTATGTTTGTGTTGAAGGATGGCTGGTGGGACCTTTCCCACACTCGAGGCAGTATGGAGCGGACGACATTACTAGTAGCGAGGTCGTGTGAGGCTAGTATCGACGAGTGGGAAGGACCATTTTTGGAAAGACACGACTGACACTTTTTGGGATAGAGTCATGTGTTTGGGTGATAGCTTTTGATTTTGATGTGGTCGGTGGGTCCATGTGGATAGTTTGGGTTGGAGTAGCTCCTGTAGATAGTCTCCACGAGTGCAACTCACCCCCTTGTATCACCCTTGTTATTAAATAAGTTGAATTGTAAATTTCATCACTTGCTTGTCCTTGCATTTCTATGTTTTCTATATCATATTCATGTTATAAATGTTGACCTTAGAAAGAAGCATCTTCCGACTGCGAAAAATCTTATGACTATTGAGAACTAGAAGATTCCTCTTGAAAAGGGTGGGCTTGGGATGTCACAGCCCTAGAGATGATATCAGAGCCTAAGTTTACTCTGGAGTGATAAGGTGCGCTAGCGACTGAAAGGTTAGGATGCGTGTGATGTAAGACACCCGATGCATGTGTTTGTTAGTTCTGTGCTAGGAAGATACAAGTAACCATGGTTACTCATATTATGTTAGTAACATCTATTACGTACGAGATACTGTGACAATTGATCATCTGAAGTAGTTGGTGATCAATGTGTAGAAAACTTGTAAGACAAGATGAGAAGGAATAGTGGATCATCTTCTGGTTCTGCACATGGAAGGGATCATCGAGTGGATGGAATTCTCAAGACTTTGGCTAATGTGGGGGCATTATTTGAACAACAAGCCCAACAACAAGCGGCTGCAGGAAATGGTGACCGCCACGTACAAGGACTCATTGAGCAATTTCTGAAATTGAAACGAATTAAGTTTACGGGATTAAGAGATCCCAGTGAGGCAGAAAGGTGGATGAGAAGTTTGGAGAAAATATTTAATCTGTTGAACCGCAATGATGCTAATAAGATGATCTTAGCTGAGTACCAACTGGAAGGGAATGCTGAACATTGGTGGAAGGCGTCCAAGGAAATGGTGTTTCCAACAGGTACGATAGTAGTATGGGGAACCTTTGTAGAGGTATTTTATGAGAAATATTTCTCTGGTTACACAAAAGATCAGAAAATA